TTTGGGCATTACAACCATCTGAATAAATACTGTTTTCTATTATATTATGTACTTCATCAACTTGTTTTCTGCTTAACCGAAAATAATTGCAAACTGATAATAGTGCAAATTCCCCATGAGTATTTCTCTTTTTCATATAGTTGCTTTTCCAAAATAATTTTTTTCTCTTTGACATGTTGAATAATAAAACTGTTTCTATAAATTCTGTGTCTGACTCTGATTCGCAACTGTCCAGAAATAACGCCATTATTTAAATTATAAAATTCTCTTTCTATGTCATATAATAATTCGATATTCGCACCTCAAAATTTTCGAGAAGACTGCTTCCAAATATGCGCTCACACTGCGTGACACGTATATTTTCTGACCTGTGTAGCCTGCCCTGCACTGCGTCACCTGTTTCACCTGCGTCCCAATGTGCTGCTTACTTTAATGTTAGGTTGAATTCATATGAGCTAGCTAAAATTTGTTTCATTGTAAAAATTGGTCTATTACCAGTAGTATGTCATATGATCGGTATTTTGTAAAAACATATGTTCTAATTGTTCATAAAAGCTATCTTTATGTCTTCATCTGTATTTTCTGTTTGCTTATGCACATTTTTTGGAGTTACTTTTCTATATTTTCTCCTCTTATTGTTATTTTACATAATTTGCTTGTGACTGCCTCAATTTTTAATCTGCTCACCATTAGGATCTGGGGGCAGAGGGTTTCTTTATTCAAAGTCCCACCCCAAATAAACTACATTTGCCTCCACTGTTGAGTAACAGGTTGTGGGGGGGTTGGCGGCGTTCCATGTGGTTGGGATTTCCTCTGGGGGGGGGTGTGGGGTGTGTTAGTTTGTGAGTGAGATGCTGGATCAGAGAGTCTATCTAGTGATTGCTCGATCGTGATGGAATAAGTTATTTAGTGCTCCTACTTCAATAAGTCCCTCTAACATCCGTTGTCCTATCCATCATCCTATTCCGCGCTATTATATTTTCTCTATTTTCACCTGACGACTGTATCCCTGTGTAGACTTCAGTTTCTGTTTTATTCATTTCTTCTATAGTTTTTCTGGTACAATATAAGGTTCCATTTCCCACCATTTCATCGTTGGATACATATGTTCTGATCCAAGCCACAAAAGGGCCGTCCATCATACTGGTGAAAACCAACGTATGGGATTAAAATTGTTTGTGTCCTTATTTTCGAAAAATTAAAAATAAAGGCGGTCGGGGGGTTGGGGTGCGTGATGGATCATAGATATCTGATCCGGTTGAGTAATCCCTCGCTTGACATAACACTCCAACCGAGGCGAAGATGTGGTGGGATGGCGTGGGATTATTAAGGACGTCCTGAAGTCCTGTGTTTATTAGTCGTTGGGGGATTTTTGGGGTTGGTGAGAGTGTTTATCTGGGGGAGTGGGGGGGATAGTGCAGTCTGGCAAAGAATCCCGTCCTGGGATATGGTGCCAATAGAGAATTATGAACATGATGTTTAGTCACCCATTTGTTGTAGATGTTCATTTTTAACGGCGATCCAACAACGTTTTAAGCTAACTAGTTTTTATCTTCAGAAGAACGACACATCTGAGTATTTTATATTTAAAGTTTAAATCCACAATTCTGAAGAAGCTGTTAGCATCCCTTTTCATACATAATATTCTTTTCTTTTTATTTTATTGTTGAGTGTTGTTTATACACTAGACGTTAGGAAAACAATTAGCGAGCATAGTAAATGTATTCAGAATTTACTATATAATAATTCATTTCAAATTTTATTTTACCCATCCTCCTTCCTCTCTAAGTGCTTTCTCTTTGAGGTTGGCGATCAATAGGGCAACACTCTTCTCTCTGTTCTGTGCTTATGCCCCCTTTTTACACTTCACATCTTGCCTGTCTAATTTTACTTGGAGCTGCTCAATTTCCATATGGCGCATTATGTGTTCTCGTTATGACGTCTTCACGTTTTCAAATCGATGGTCTTCCACATGTCCTTTGCTTTTTTTTTTTAGTAGAGCTGTATATGTGGATGTTAGCCGTGTATGGCCGGTAATTATGTCCATGTTCATAGAGAATTGTTGGCAGAGGTATGTTACATTTCCTGACAGCCATTTTCAACTTACGACGTTTAAAATGTTGGGCTGTTATCTGGGGTCTTTCGCTCCGCAAATCCGTGGGGTGCCTTGTTGTTCTTTGCGTCTCTTATTGTCTGCAAAACTTCTTCTGGTGGTAATGTTTATTTTTCCATATGTATCTAAGTTTGTGGGGGCTTTTTCTTGGTAACTCTGATCATCAACAAATCTTTAAGATATTTCTCCCATATTTCCTTCTGTTTATTCAGGATCTAATTCCCCTCTATGGTTTGTCCTTGTTTTGTTACAATCGTGATGTAATCAAGATGGTTTGTGTGTGTTCGCTAGTTTACGCACAGTTCTGGGCTTTAAACCTTTTGCTGTGTAGTGCGCTGATGCTTTATTCTCACGTTATTAGTGGGGCGGCTTTCTGATCATGAAGCGGTATATTACCTAGTTAGTTTAGCAGTTTACAAACACCTCCACTCACAAAACCGACGTATTAGCGTAGGATTTTCTCACTCAAAAACCCGAACGATTGGGTAGGATTAGGTAGGTCCATTATCCCTCCAGATTACTGACAGAGAATGTAGCGTAGAATCTTTAAGTAATTTTAAACTGTTTGTCCTCGTTTTAGTGTAGTGTTTTGTACAATTTTATGTTATTTTTAATGTTTCCACATTCTACGCTTGCCGGATAGTTTACATTTTGACGAAATGCCCCTGAAGATGCTATTTTAAGCGAAAGTACTTGGGCTAGATTTAATTAACTTGTGCTCGATAATAGCCTTATTTTCAAAGTTCATTTATTCGAGCATTCAACCTCATTCATTTAATTTTTTTTTTATAGATTTTTGTACTATTTGACTGATTAATTTTTAGCTTTGTCCATAAAATGTTATTAATTTTCAGTGACAATAAAGCATATTTCTATCTATTCTATTCTATTTTTGCTTTATTTACAAATCTTCTACCTCTTTTACATTTTTCTTTCATTCACTCTTTCTTACAATATATTTTTTTTTAGTTTCCCTTGACCTTTATTTTGATTAAGGTTACTGTTATCATAATTGTATAATTCGTTTCTCACCATGTTTTTCTATGTATTTATACCAGATATTTAATCGCATGCCCTTTCGAAATGTGGCTTTATCGCCGTATCCTAAAAATACCATGGACAGCGAAAATCACAATATAGATGTCCTTAAAAGAATAAACCAAGAACGCCAACTTTTCGAAACCATCAAGAAAAGGAAAACGGCGTATCTAGGTCACATCAAGCGAAATGAAAAATACCAGTTCCTCCAACTTATAATCGAGGGTAAAATTGAAGGCAAGAGAGGAATGGACGCAAGAAAATGTCCTGGCTCCGAAACATAAGGCAATGGACAGGATTAACGACATACAATCTCTGATACATATTGCAAGAAATAGAGAATTAATGGAAAATGTGATCGCTAAACATCCATTAGTGGATTTGCATTGAAGAAGAAGATATTTATAACCTGGGAGTGTTAAGGTCTTGATCTAATGCCTCCAAATGTTAAAACAAGACAAATTATACGCATAGAACAATTTAAATAACAAATAAAACTATCGATTCTGGGTTGAGATTAATAAATATTGCTTTTAATATCTTAATTTTAAATAATAATACTACTTATTTTAGGTATCACCCTCTCGATATGATCATGAAGAAACTACAGACAAAATTATGAACTGTGGAAAGACATTGGCCTAAAATTTGAGGATCTTCTGGAAAATTTAGGAAAAAATGCTGGAGGTCTACCAATGAAACAGTTCAATCTATGTTGTTTCACATCTACGGGCGTTATATCCAAAGACGATAAACTAAATCCAAAAGAATTTACCAAATTCATAAAACTATTGTATCCTGAAGACCCTGAAAAAATATTGAAGGAATGTTCCAAGAGTATTTCTGATCCTTTAAATGATGCTTATGAGATTAGTGTTTGCGTAATTAGAATTGCAAATCAATTTTAATTGTTTAGGTCGTATATCATAATACTCTTATATTATGTAATAAAATTAGAAATAAATAAAAATACTTTACTTTTTTATAAATCTTATTAAGTTATACCAAATAAATCAAGTTTATTTAGGAAACACTGGAGCTGTAAAAATTATGAATCTTTTAACTTGTACCAAAGATATAGTCTCCACAGTTTTTTTCACATTTTGTCTTCACTTCCTCTCTAACACTATCTGGGGTGATTGCGGGTGGATTAAGTAGCTGCGATTACCACAGCCAGGCCCCCGTCCGGATATAATGTTTTTTAAATAACAAAAATATAAAATCAGAATGTGGTGTTCATTGAAAGTAAACTAAATGCACGACTGAATACTTACCATGTATAAGGGATAGTATTATAAGGTTTTTTTCCTGGTTTTTCCGTCATAATTTACTATGGAATCACTAACAGGAGAATTAACAGTCGTTCCAGGAGCGCAACTCAACAATATTGGCAATATCATTTTAAAGTAGTCTACTTTAAAATGTATAATGTATGTCTGAATTGTCAATCTAAATGAGTCAGAGAAAAATATTTAGAGCTTTTACTTCTGCCAATATTCCTCTTCAAAAGTTACTTAGAAACAATGGAAGGTATAAAAAGAATTATCAAAAGAAAAATTATATACATTTTGTAGTTGACCAAACTACTGATTTTTGCGGACGATATATTGTAAATCTTAGAATCTGATATTTTAGATAATATGTGTCTGGAAGTAAGCAACTGGATAAAACTTATAACGTTACAATTTTACGGTTTGTAAACGAAAATTTGATAAATTTTATTCTTCCTGAAACTCTATCAACTTCTACCAATTTTACTCATGCTATCAGATGCAACTAGCTATGTGGTTAAATTTTATGAATATAAATAATGTTTTATACTATTTTTGTATTTTGATGAATTTTGATGAAAATATTTAATTAGTTTATTAAATGTTTACACAAAACTAAAAAAAACCTTATAAGCATTTTTTATTATTTGCCAACCACAAAGACATACAATTACACAAATTATTTAATGTTCTTTTGCAAGACTAAGCATGCAGACACTCATTTTATAAGCATCCTCTATAGGATCTTCAAGTTTCTTAAAACACTTCGTAATAATTTCTTCAGCGTTTTCGGGAAAGAATAATCTCATGTTTTTGGAGCCTTGCACATAGTCAACTTGGTTGTCGTCGTTTAAAGTACCAACAGCTTTTAATGAGCATAGATTAAGCTTTTTCATAACTTCTACTTCCTGGTTTTGTTCTATAGCTTTCACAAGATTCTCCAGAGATAGATTTGTAGTGCCTAATTTTTTTGCACAGTCATTTATTTTTTCTACAACTCCTTCCTGTGTAAACCTCGTAACAGAAACCTTAAAAAAATATATTAAAATAATATTAGTGTATGGCTAAACTTAAAATTTACATAACATAGATAGAAAATATTTTAAAGCAATAAAAGAAACACAGTTCGCACTACAGTGTGAAGAGATAGAGTTGTTCGAACAAAAACACGATACATTTAGTATACACAAAACGGTAAAACAAGTACCTGGTCTTCAAAAATTCCAACACAACTAGCAAACTGCAAGATAAAAATCAAAGAAATATGCATATGGACGAAATACACACAAGAACTCTTTGATGATAATAGGTCTGATAAACATACGTCCTACATACGCAATGAGCACTTACCAATTAGATCACATTGTCATGAAGTAAAAAAAAAATATCAGAACTAAAAGATTGCCAAGCTCCTGGACATGACAATACATATGCTGATCTCATAAAACCATTTAACATTGACAGTACTCAACTACTAACAAAATGATAGAATGAAGATAGATATGAAGAATAATAAATCGCCAGGAAAAGACGGGTGACTGTAGAAATGCTAAAACATGGTGGGAAAACAACTAGAGAAGTTTTGTACATACTTATGAATAAAATACTAATGACAAAACAAATACCCAACAGTTGAAACGGAAGCAATAACACTGTTACTATTTAAGAAAGGAGATAAAAAGGATCTAAATTACAGACCCATAACTTTATTACTCATCCTTCTAAATGGTAAAAGAGTAAACAATGTTAGATATGCCGACGACACCATGGTGATAGCAGATAGTTTTAAAGGGACTTTCAGAGGCTAATGGACAGAATAAACGAGTACAGTCAACAGTACGGACTAAACATTAATACCCACAAAACGAAACAAATGATTATTCATCAAGAATAATATAAACAGCGCTGATCTATACATTAATGGGACGCAGATAGAGCGAGTAAAACAGTATTGCTACCTGGGAACTATTAATAAACGAAACAGTGGAGCAATCTACAGGAAATAAATGCCGCATAGGAAAGACAAGAACGGTCTTTTAACAAAATGGCGCCATCTTCAAAAGTCACAACATATCCCTTAATAACAAAAATGAGACCATTTGAGATGCTATGTTTTCTCTGTGTTGTTTGTACGGGGCGGAGGCATGGACGCTTACAGACACCACTATTAAAAAACTTGAAGCATTTGAGATGTGGCATTATAGAAGAATGCTGAGAAATATCATGGACACAAGGATCACGAACAAGGAAGTTCTAGGAATAATGAAGAAGGAACCAGAGATTGTGTTTACGATCAAACGCATAAAATTGCAATATCTGGGACACGTATATGAAAATCAGCACCGTTTACTCCCCTGCTGCAGTCTATATTGCAAGGTAAAGTCAAAGGTAAGCGAGGACCCGGTAGAAGGAGAATATCATGGCTGCGGAATTTAAGAACATGGTTTAAGAAAACCTCAACGGAGCTGTTTCGAGCCGCAGCGAGCAAGGTTATGATTGCCAATATGATTTCCAACATCCGAAAACGGATAGAACCAGAAGAAGAAGAAACTTTCGCTAAATTTGATGTACAAACTATTAACCAAAATATTAACAGATAGCTTAAACAACTAAATTATATGGATACCATCAAGAGAACAAGCCGGATGTAGAAAGAGCTTCAGTACAAGTTTACCACCTTTTAACGATGAAGATTTTAATCGAAAAAAACTAACGAATTATCATATTCCCGCTATAAATGGCATTTATTGACTTCAAGAAGGCATTTATAGTGTGGAATATGGGCAAGTACAGAATTCCTACAAAACAAGCAGAATAACTACCGATATACGACTTAAACAATATCTACAGGAACAACAACTATGAAGCTATGAAACAAACGGAACACTAATAAAAGTAAAACCAAGGGTAAGACAAGGAAGATACCATCTCGCCCAAGCTATTCAACCAACGCGCAGAGAGATGTTTCAACGACTGGCTACTGGATGGCATTGGAATTAACATAAAATTGGCAAAATCTGGAAATCATTTACGATATGCTGATGATATGTATTAATAACAGAAAAAAGTGAAGGATTACAAAGAATATGGAATAACTAGATAGAGAATCGACAAAAATCGGACTCAAGATGAATTACAGTAAAACGAAAATCATGACTAATCAACCAGAAGAACTAATAAATACAGTGGCACAAACAAGAATAGAACAAGTAAAGAGTATATATATCTAGGCCAAATGCATTAATTAAATAAAAAAATCAACCGAAGAAATAAAGAGAAGAATAAGATTGGTCTGGGCATCATTCAGAAAACTGTCTTATATTCTAAAGAATTCAAAATACCCCCAATACCTAAACACGAGAGTCTTTAATCAATGTATACTCCCTGTCCTCACAATATGGCTCTTAGACATGGACATTTACGAAAGGAAAATATGGAAAAAATAGCAAAGACAGAAAGATCCATGGAAAGACAAATGCTGAACAGTAAACTATCAGACAGAAAAAGAAACGAATGGATCTGTAATAAAACAAAAGTGCAAAGATGTCCTCGACCCAAGTAGCAAAGCTTAATATGGAAGTTCGCCGGACACACCCTAAGGCAGAAAGATGAAAGATGAACTAAGACAATTATACATTGGAGAACCATGGAAATCACAACGAAAAAGGGGAAGGCCACAAATGCGATGGCCAGATGACCTGAAGAAATACGCCGGGTCAAAATGGATGCAAATTGCCCAAGTATAGAAAGGCATGGAAGAAGGAGGAGGAGGCCTATATCCAAGATGGATGTTTAGGTGCATGTAGAATATTTACACAGAGTAATCCAAGATCAGGCTGAGTCAACATTTATTGCTCTACAAAAATAACAGTGAAAGAGTGAATTCGATATTAGGCATGCTCATTTACTACTTAAAGCGTACACAAAATACGACAAGCTTATTGAAATTAGAAAATATTGACATCATAACATAATGTTAAAGTCAGCATTAGGCGCTTTTATAATGACAGGAATAATAGCTAACTGCTTACCTTACTATTTACCAAGTAAACAACAGCAAACAGACAAATTGCGTACTTAAACATTCTAAATCACCTCAGATAAAAAAATTTGAATTCCAAATAATGATTGTCTACCTCTTTGATAGATACAAACATACCACTTTTAATTTATATAAGTATAAACCTCATCTATTTATATAAATCGATTTTTATTTGATATTTTGATAAATGTTGAACTATTTTGAACTATAAGGGAAAAAACCTTTTTAATTAATATTAATTCTAATAAAGATTGTGTAATTTTAGTAAATCATAGATATAATTTAACAATTATCTATGATTTATTATGCAATATTAAGGTATTATGTAAAATCACAATATTGACGTCTCGTATAGAAAAATAAAAATAAACATTATCTCACATTCGTTCATAATTCCGCAATTTTTTAGTTTTACTTGGATTCCTGGATTCCTGAAAAAAAATATTATTTGAAGAGGATTCAGACAAAGTCGATCTCCAGACAATTTTTTTTCTTTTAAATTTCTTTATTTACGTCAATTTGTCGAAGTGAAGCAGTAACGAAAATATCAAAATTAAGTAAAATCGACAAGAGGTGTCCTTTTAAAGCTTAGGGCAAAAAGATAAAGTACCATTTAAGGTCGTGGCATATTATCATACACTTTGCGTTTCCGGTACATAGCGTTTCGGGTCGAGCAAACGGACTGCGCGTTCACATTTTCATACATAGAGCGTTTCAGTTTGATGCGGTTTGGACTGCGTGTTCACATTTTCATACATACAACGTTTCAGTTTGATGCGGTAAAGATGTGTTCTCGCTTTTCGCGTCAAAAATTATGTGCAATTGCGCTTCTACTTGATGATGAAGAAAGAAAAACTGTAGTAAAAAGGAGGTTTGGAGTACATCCAATGTTAAGAGAAAGAAAAAAGGAAGGTGAATACTGGACTTTATACAAAGAATTAATTCATGACGATGAAAAATATTATGGATATTTTAGAATGAATAGGGTTCAGTTTGAATATATTTTAAATTTAATTACACCTTTAGTTAAAAAACAAAATACTACATTTAAAGAAGCCATAACACCTAAAGAAAAATTAGCTGTGTGTTTAAGGTAAGTTAAAGCAAAATTTTCTATTAACAAAATTAACTCATTTATTTCTTAAAAATAAAGTATGAACAAACGAATCCTACTTAAAAAAATTAATATTAGTAACATAAATTTTTATATACAGGGTGTCCCAAAAGTAGCGGAACGGTCGAATATTTCGCGAAATGAACATCGGATCGAAAAACTGAAAAATACGTTATTCAATCATTTTCAAAAATCTATCGAATGAGACCAAAAACGACTCCACACTCCAACCCCTAGAGGTGAGGTGGGGACTACCTTTAAAATCTTAAAGAGAAACCCCCATTCGTTATTGCAGATTTGGATTCCTCATGAAATATAAGTAACATTTATTCGAAACATTTTTTAGAATTGTTTATAAATGGCGCTATAATCGAAAAAATACAATTCATCAGCGCCATCTATCAACAATTCTAAAAAATATTTCGAATAAATGATATTTAATCTTTCACAAGGAATCCAAAACTGCAATAAAAAACGGAGTTGATACTTTAGAATTAAGAGCCCACCTCCAGCGTCTGGAGTGGGGTTTGGTGTCATTCGATAGATTTTTGAAAATGATTGAAAACGTCTTTTTCAGTTTTTCGATCAAATGTTCATTTCGCGTAATATTGGACCGTTCCGTTGCTTTTGGGACACCCTCTGTAATTAAAAAAACATCAGTCGTTTTGAGAGGGGGGGTCGATTGCCTCCATCGCCCTTTCCTGGATCCGCCACTGCATGCTTTCGTTATCAAAAACCAAATTCTCTGAAACATATTCATTCGAATTTCTGATATTGGATGCTGCAGATGTCTTTGTTGATGTTGAACATTCCGATGTCTGAGGTGAATGCATTGGCGTAATCGGGGCTGAATTATTATTGTTAGGCTGGTCACTATAGGCAGGATAGTTACCCGGATAGATGTATGGATTTCTTATCGCAGGTGGATTAGGATGAGTAATAGATTGTAGTTCTATCTCCCCGACAATTGAAGAAACTCTTGCTTTTGCCAGTGCTCTGTAATATGGTGGCATCTTTTTTACAGTTTGGGCCAAACCATAAAAAAGCGCTTCAACTTCGTCTTTTTCTTCGGATTTTAGGAGATAATCCATAACCACAGATGCAGCAGTACGTTCATTCTTTTTTTTCTTTGGCAATTGCGGAGTTTCAAATACACTTCTTTTTGGGGCTTGTTTTTCGTAGGACACCTCAACATTTAAAGATTTTTTTTCAGTCTCTACTATCTCTGAGTCGCTTCAGCTTCAACTTGCGACTCTTCTTGTTCGGGAATTTCGATTGTAGAAATGGTAGACCTATCTTGAAGGAAAGGAAGAAGGAAGTTCATTTCTTCTTCAAACTTCCATTTTTTTAGTTATAATTGCGGCCTGGCCACTCTTTGTTTTTCGCTTTTTTTGCTGTCGCCTAAACGCATCTCTAAGGGAATTCCATTGCTTTTTACAATCCTTAGCTAAAAAAAAAACATTAATTAATAATAAAATTTTATTTTAGGTTCCTAGCTACTGGGGATTCATTCAAAACAATTTCATATAGTTTTCGACTCGGACAGTCCACGGTCAAATCAATCATTATGGATGTTACAAACGCAATTATTTTGACTATGAAATCAGAATGTATTCCTGTCCCTACTCCTGACAAGTGGCAAGAAATAGCTCAAGACTTTTGGGAATTGTGGAATTTCCCTAATTGCATTGGGGCGATCGATGGGAAACATGTTCAAATAATTGCTCCAGCAAATAGTGGTTCATTATTTTTTAATTATAAGAAAACTTTTTCCATAAACCTAATGGCATTGTTGGATGCTAGGTATAAGTTCATTGCTGTAGACATAGGCAGCTATGGCAAGAATAGTGACGGAGGCATTTTTCATAATTCCTATTTAAAAACATATTTAGAAAACGAAATTAAGTTAGAGGATAAACCTTTACCAGGAATGAAATTGAAGATGCCACATGTTATTGTAGGTGATGAGGCTTTCCCCTTAAAGCCCTACTTAATGAGGCCATATCCTGCAGCTCAATGTGATGACATAGAAAAACAACATTTCAATTACCGATTATCAAGAGCTAGGAGGGTAGTAGAAAATGCCTTTGGAATCTTATCTCAAAGATTTCGAATTTATAATAGAAGAATCCAATTGAAACCAGAATTTGTAGACAGGGTGGTACTAACTACGTGCATATTACATAATTTTATTGGGGACCCATTCAGAACATTTATTAACTAATGACAAAAAAATTGACGAGGAATTTTCTAGTCTACCTAGACAGGGTGGAAATAATTCATTATTAGCATTCACAGTAAGGGACAACTTTAAAATATTTTTTCAATCTGCTGGTGGAAAACTTGACTGGCAACAATAATTCCTCTGTATTTTTGTAATTAGTACATTTTGGACGGATTAAATATTTGTGGTTTAATTTGATACCTACTTACCATTTTGTCCTAATTTTCGTGCGATTTCCCTCCAAATATTTTCTTTTTTATTGGCATCATGATAGCATTTATCATTTTAATTATATAAAATTCTTCACCGCGTACAAGTTCAATTAATTTTTCTAAATCCATTTTAACACAAAGAATGTCACAAAGCAATGAAAACACATGCATAAATGACAAAATAGTCTCGAAAATTATTTTTTCAAATACTCTGTATCAAAATCAAACAAATTCCTAAATAAACAACGAGGGGAAAACGACGGACCCCTAATTCACATGATCCGTACCAACCGGTTACGGCCCGTTACGTAGCCGTAGGTATCAGTAAAATATTGATTTTGAATGTACTGAACGGTCACGTTAGGTGTCTGTAACGGTAACTTCCGGACAGTGTGAGTTGTTCATATTTAAAACCATTTAAATGATATTTTTCGAAAACTAAACGCTACAAGCTGGAAACGCAAAGTGTATGATAATATGCCACGACCTTTAGTATCACACTTGAACGTTACGTATACTTGCGACGAAGACGAAAACGAACACGAATTTTGGCAAAAACAGATGAGATTTTGTTTTTATTCCTGATGTTTCTGAAACGATTCACAGGTTTTACAAGGGTTACAAGAGCACATATTGACGGCATATTTTATTGCTAAGTAATTGCTCCTAGTGCAAAACTCATCCCTGAAAAAATAGAGATATCGGGCAAAAACTTTGAAACGAGCAAGAAACAAGAAACACTTTACTGCTGCAACCAATTTCCAAAAATAATGATGACTGAACCTTAACTTCACATTGCATCGCTTATTAAATTTTCTTTAATTATGTTTAACTTTCTTGCTAAATTGTTTCCATGAGGATTTTTTTGGTAGGGATTTCGCTGGTTTACGACCTGAATAGCCCTGACTCCTTTCCTGCTGGATCTTGGTTTTCGATACCCATGATTAGTACATGTCTACTTACTCTGTCTTCTCATCCCATGTTGATTTGACTAGGAATATCTACCGATCTTTAATACAGTGGTTTCCTGTTGCCTTCTGTATTCTTATGCTGTTGGCTAATGTCTTAGCTCATCCGCCTTTAGGGCCAGATTTTCCAACATAGGACAAAGGAGTGTCCTGCCACTTACCAGCTTTGGTCAGTAATTTGGAGGGGATTGATTATACCGGCAATCTCTTGGACGTCAAGCCTCGTTTGTTACCTGGCAGGATGCACGAAATAGTCACAATCAATACCATTTACATGGGCAGGTGCGGTTGACATTTTGGATCGAAGATTCAACAGCAATTAATAGCAATAAAATAATTGTCTCGCAGGGATACGCTTTCTTTTCTTTGCCGAGATATAGCTAAGGCTATGCTACATTTACCATAAAGTTAGCATAGCCATTGTTTCTTGAAAGCGATTACAGAATAAATCATGTTTCTTGTGCGTACAACTGTGGCATTAAATTTACGCAATTAATTCTTTGCGGTTCGCTTTTTGGCCGATATATCGCTTTTTTTTGGGGGTGTTGTTTTGAGCTAGGGGACGATTTGGGTAGCATTTGGGAGCTACGTTAAG